GATTGTTTAACAGGATATGTTTTGGATATAATTGTTTATACTGACTTAACTACTGAAATGCAAACATTTTCTGAAAAATTAGGTGAAAGTGGCAATATTGTGGTAACATTGATGCAACCTTATTTAGGAAAGGGTCATCAATTATTTGTTGATAATTGGTATTCAAGTCCTGCACTATTCCGATGTTTGGACAGCTTTGCAACAAACGCATGTGGGACAGTAAAAAATCGACGGGAAGGTATGCCAAAAATGCCAGAAAAATTAGAAAAAGGAGAACTTAGTTTTAGATCATCAGGAAATTTGCTCCCACTGAAATGGCAGGACAAACGTGAAGTCTGGATGTTGTCCACAAGTCATTTGGCTGAATATAAGGATTGTGAAAAGAAAAATTATCAAATGGGTGAAAATATTCAAAAGCCTTCATCTATTATAGACTATAGCAAATTGATGGGTATAGCTGATAAAAGTGATATAATTATAAATACGGTTTCATCCACAAGAAAAACGCTGAAATAGTATAAGAGATTCTTTTTTCACTTACTAGACATTTCAATATGGAATACATATTGTCTATATAACAAAACTTCTCCAACAGTACTCCGAATCAAGGCCATACAACCCTTGTACTGCATCAGAAAATCTCATGCGTTTTAGAGAAAGACATTTTCCAGCACCTTACAACAGTGATAAAACAAAAGAAAAAATCCATTAAGAAGATGTATTGTATGCTCAAAACATAATAAAAGGTGTAGTACTAGATACTATTGTAAACAATATAATGTTGGCCTATATGTAGCCCCATGCTTCAAAATTTATCAAACCAAAGAATAAAATTTATTGTAATATTAAAAAACTTGCCTTATTTCTTTATGATATGATTGAAATAAAACTATAATTTTGAATTGACTTTTCTAATTTTTCATTTATCAAAATGAAATTGTGAACATTTAAAAATAACGTAATAAAAACATATATGTATATGTTATCTATTCTGATTTACATTACAAGTAAAGCTGCCTTTACTGTAAAGTAAAACAAGCTTTCAGTGCTTTCAAGCTTTCCTCATCAAGGCCGGGCACGGTGGCTCACACCTGTAATCCTAGCACTCTGGGAGGGTGAGGCGGGTGGATTGCTCGAGGTCAGGAGTTCGAAACCAGACTTCGTCTCTACTATAAATAGAAAGAAATTAATTGGCCAACTAATGTATAGAGAAAAAATTAGCCGGGCATGGTGGCGCATGCCTGTAGTCCCAGCTACTCGGGAGGCTGAGGCAGGAGGATCGCTTGAGCCCAGGAGTTTGAGGTTGCTGTGAGCTAGGCTGATGCCACGGCACCCACTCTGGCCTGGGCAACAAAGCGAGACTCTGTCTCAGACTCTGTCTCAAAAAAAAAAAGCTTTCCTCATCACTGAAGAGCAAAATGGATTCATCGTCAATGCACAGCACAAACTATTGTGCAGACTGTGAGTGCCGGCTGTGGGCAAGGTTTCGCGGGTGGTGAGCGCCGTACGGAAGTGGTTAAAGTGGCTGGCATATGGTGGAAAATGAGTCACTGTTGAAATACCCTTCAGGAAAAGACAAATTCTACTTCCTTAGTGAATCACAGGAGTATTCCACATAGAAAACTTGCAATCAACCTTTCAGTGAGTCCAGTGCCTCTCATTTTCCTTCCTACAGCTATATTCCTCGCCCATGTTGTGAAAATTTAGAGAACAAAGGAAGAGGGGTGAAAAGTCAAGGCAGAAGCAGGGTCTTTTTGGAGGATGCTTTTATATCCAAGAAGAAAGTGGCTTCCAAGCACCGGTGCTCTTCCTGGAACCACACAGCCACACTCCCTCCACGGGGGGCATTCCATGAGGTAGGGCCCTTAGGTCAGAGTCACAGGCATTGCAGTCAGATTCCAGAAGCATCCAACTCACCAGCACAGACAGTCTTAGTGGGCAGAGTTCTAGGAGGCACCAGGACATTTGAACATACTTTTATAAACCAGATTGCTACCGCCAGGGCTGAAGACAGAGTATTCGTGCATGAACGAAGATGTGTGCCACGGTCCTCTGGCCTGCCTGCCCTCCACTAAGCCAGGCACACACATGGACACACCCCCAATCCTTTACCTTAAAGAGCTTATAATCAGAAACAGCAGCCTGTGTGCAAGACACTTCATTGCCATTTACAGAGTTAAAAAATGGGCAGCAATGCATGAAACAAAGTTTGCTGCCTTTTTGACCATGGGCTAGTAAAACAGGAAGTATCTATTTTTTTAATTCAAGTATTTGGACAAGGTTTAATGTTTCACAGTCAAGCCAAAAATAAAAATACAAAAACCAAAAGCACAAAACAAAAAACCCAAAACCCAAAAAACCCTTAAAGTGGGTTATGTAGTCAGGAGTGACCAAATGAAGACATTACCTCAGGCAGCTCCGGAAGGCAAGTAAGCAAAGCTGGCTCAGCTGCAGCTGTGCCCCAGACACAGACACGGATGAAGAATGAAGACATGGCACTAACATTCAAGCATTAGGTGACTGATGATGCCACAGATGAAGCAGCGATTAATGCAGATGAAAGCAAACACACACATGGTGGACAAACAATCAGAGTCGAGGGTGACCTGCCAAGAGGAGTTAGTGAGCTGAGTACACTGCATCTGAGTCATTAAAAACAAAATGGCATTCTCAGAAATCTCAACAGTGCCACTTTTAAACTACCACCAGACCTGATCTTATCCTTCTTCCACCTGTGGGCTGTTAATAGCCAAGAGAAAGCTATTAGTGCTGAATGCAATGTTAACACAGCTGGTTTAGTCTCTCATTCCAATTATGATTTGACAAAAGGGCTTCTCTTCAGCAAGGGGCCTCTAGATTCATTTCCGGTGGGCATTAATGAGGGCCCAAGTCACGTGGCATCAGCAGTGCAGCTGGAAGGAGGATACCCGCCCCGCAGCAATATCCACAAAGTGCCACCACGGACAGCCCTGGAACTGTCTGCAAGGATCTGCCTTCAGATGGTGCAAATCCAGTTATGAACATGTTGGCCTTTCTTTGAATGCTGTCACACTAAATACATGAAGACAGGTATGTGAGCAATCATTTTAGTGATGACAGCTTTGATATCATGTCAAATGATTTGAAAATAGAGGCAAAAAGGTTCCAAACTAGCTATCATTAAAGTATTAGCTTATTAAGTATGAAATGTCTGATTTCCTTTAGCACTAAGTTTGACAGGTGATACTGCTGACATTTCACGTTGACACTTCTTGTTTTATTTTTATTGTGAAGGTACATCCTCAGTCTTTCAAATGCACAGATTGGCTTGTGATTACCTTTCCAAATTTTTTAGAGCAGTTTTTGTGCAACCATGGATAAGTAAAAAATTCATGTTATTTTTTAATATAAGTTCTGTCGTGGAACCAATGCTATGCAGACAGGTTGAAATATCAACAAAGTGTTTGGGAAGGATGTGGCTAATGAACACACAGTACACTGATGGTTTGAGAAGTTCCATTCTGGTGATTTTAATGTTGAAAATGAGCCACGTGGCTGACCTGAGACCAAGGTGGATAATGAAGAGCTGAAAGCTGTAGTGGAAGCGAATCCATTCCAACCTATGCATGAATTAGCAGCAAGGTTTGATGTTACTATTTCAACAACATTGGACCATTAGAAATAAACGGACAAAGTAAAGAAGCCGGATAGATGGGTTCTGCATGAATTAAATGAACGTCGAAGTCATCTTGAAGCTTGCCTTTCTTGGCTGTCATGACACAAAGGTGAACCATTTCTATACCATATTGTTACATGCGATGAAAAATGGATTCTTTTTGACAATCACAAGGATCTGGCACAATGGTTGGATAAAAATAAAATGCTGAAACAGTCCAAAACTGAATATTCATCAAAAAAACTAAAGGTGTCTGTTTGGTGGTGCAGCACTGATATTCACAACTACAGCTTCATGAAATCTGGTCAATTCATCACCGCGGATATCTACTTCAACCAGCTGGGTGAAATGATGAGGATGCTTGTGAATAAGCAGCCGAGAGAGACTGGTCAGAAGACACAGGCCAATCCTCTTGCAAGACAACACTTGACCACATGTTGCACAAACAACACTGCTCAAACTACAGCAGTGGGACTTGGAAACTCTCTGTCATCCACCGTATTCACCAGACCTGGCACCAACTGACCACCACTTCTTCCAGGCTTTAGACCACTTCTTGCAAGGAAAGATATTCAATTCTCAACAAGCTGTGGAAAATGTCTTTCATGATTTCATAGCCATTCACTCTCCAGGTTTCTTCACTGCTGGCATAAATAGGTTTTTTTTTTTTTTTTTGAGACAGAGTCTCGCTTTGTTGCACAGGCTAGAGTGAGTGCCGTGGCGTCAGCCTAGCTCACAGCAACCTCAATCTCCTGGGCTCAAGCGATCCTCCTGCCTCAGCCTCCCAAGTAGCTGGGACTACAGGCACGCGCCACCATGCCCAGCTAATTTTTTTTCCTCTATATATTAGTTGGCCAATTAATTTCTTTCTATTTATAGTAGAGACGGGGTCTCGCTCTTGCTCAGGACGGTTTTGAACTCCTGATCTCGAGCAATCCGCCCACCTCGGCCTCCCAGAGTGCTAGGATTACAGGTGTGAGCCACAGCGCCCGGCCTAACAGGGACTGTTAAGATGGCAAAACTGTGTCAATAGTTTAGGCTGGTACTTTGATTAATTGTACTGCTTCTTGTTTGAGATATTATAAACTAAACTTTTGATTCTAAATCAGACATTTCATATTTAATGACCTTAAAACTATTCTTTCCACAAACTCCCCATATGCAAGTGGAGTATGACATAGCCTCTTCTAAATTCTCTTTTGAAGGAAGCATTGTTGATTTTAAAATAAGTAAAGAAGCAGAAAAGTAGGAGAGGTAAACCAGCTCAATAGTTAATTTCTTTAGACGAGCGTATGGATAATTAAAAACATACAGTGCATCACTGGGTGCAGGCTCTTTTACTTACCATATCTGTAATCGAATTTTCTTTCCTCTTAGCTCTACAGTTTTGATTTTAAAGTCAACACCTGTAAACAAAACAAATAAATATGAAGCAAAACAAGAAAGATGAAATTTGTCATACGAAATAATTCTATTTGTATGTTTTTGTATTATTACCAGAAAAACAAACCCACAAAAAACCAGCACCAGTGATAAATTCCAAGGAAAGGCAGAAGCACACCCAGACGCGCAGCTCCGCACCACCCTCCTGCCCAAGTGCACGCTGGAAACACAGCCCACGTCGTGCGTCTTGGCTCATCCTGACCGATGGATCTAGTATTTGCTGTCCATAGTACAATTTATTACTACTACAATTCAGCACAGAAGCCAGCTTAAAATCATATTTCATAATTACATCAACAAATGGATGGCTTTAAAAGGATGTCATCTGGGGGAAAATTCTTATACAGAACACTGGAAACTTAATCTTGAGATGAAATAGCCTTAATCGGAATTTAGAAGTTACTGTATTAAAATTTTTGGAACTCATAAAAATTCAGGTAAATATAAACATGACATTTATTATATTATTGATAGTGGGAGGAATTACTTTAAAAATGTACTTTTACACAAATTAACATATCCAATTTTAATTGTTATTCATTTTAATATTACTAAGTGAACCTTCATGTATCATCTTTCCTTTTCAATTCAGTCCATAAAGCTTCAGATGTATTTTTTAAAACAAAATTTTCACTTGTGTATATTACCTTATATGCTTTTCAGTTACAGAAAACTTAAATATTCCAAGACAATATTTTTTCTTTTGAGACAGAGTCTCACTTTGTTGCCCAGGCTAGAGTGAGTGCCGTGGTGTCAGCCTAGCTCACAGCAACCTCAAACTCCTGGGCTCAAGCAATCCTGCTGCCTCAGCCTCCCGAGTAGCTGGGACTATAGGCATGAGCCACCATGCCCGGCTAATTTTTTCTATATATATTAGTTGGCCAATTAATTTCTCTCTATTTATAGTAGAGATGGGGTCTCCCTCTTGCTCAGGCTGGTTTCGAACTCCTAACCTCGAGCAATCCACCCGCCTCGGCCTCCCAGAGTGCTAGGATTACAGGCGTGAGCCACTGCGCCTGGCCCCAAGGCAATACTTTTTTAACACTATTTTTACAACTAAGAAAAATGAAACTAAAGACACCTTCCCTATAGGAACTACTTCCTGACTGCCTCCGGGACCCACGGGTGGGTGATCCCGGCCTCCCACAGGCTGGCAGGTGCCACATTTGCGACTGGTGCCTTGGCCACAGAGCAGGAGGACTGCCCCAGCTCTGGGAACTGATGCAGCACTGCAGTCAGAGGAGGTTCTTGAGGGAATGTGGAAGACGCAGCTGATTTTGTGATTAGTAACACAAAGTAGAGATGGCAGACACAATGCCACACCAAAAGGCATGTTTACAACCCTGGGGGAGGCCCTCCTTCTATACAAGAGAAGTCGCATGAAAATGTCATAAGAAAACAAAGCTTGGAGAGGACTCTACTAGATTTCAACTCTTAATCTCTCACATGAGACAATTTCAAATGTCCCTGAAGGAAAGCTGGTTAACTCAATTTCACTTTCAGTTCTGGAACTAATTTGCTTTCCAAAGTCAAAGGACACTGGAACAAGCCTTGAAACAGGAAGCAGAATTGTGCATGACCCATATGCTTAAGTGGAGTTCCTTAATGGCTCAACGACAAAGTAACAGTATAACTTTAATAAGTGACATTCTACAAGACACAAAGCACGGCATGAAGATACTTGCTAGGTTCTGATTTTAAAAAGGTAGAGCTTAATGATAAAACACTGCCAGCTTAATCTGTGATGGAATTTTTTCCAAATAAAATTCATATTCTGTCATGACTACTATTCTGTTTTAGTTTTGTTTCTAATTACTTCAAATGAATTTGTTTTAAAGTTTTTAGTTAAGGAATGTAACTTTTATAAAAACTTGTCACATGGCTGCTACTTTAACGAAAAGAACTGGCATGAGACCACTCTTGAGCTCTGCTTCAAATCAACAAGACCCTTGAAATAGCCAGAGCAAATGGGTTTTGTGTTGATGACGCTGTTTTCTCGGCACATCAGATGCTTTTCTTCAACCAACCTGAGTAACTTATCCAACTTTAGCACTCCCACAGCAGGACTATTTTTGTAACCACAAAGCTTAATGAATAAAAATAAAAGGATAGGGCAATGACATTCAGAATCAGAAAATAAGTGGTAATATTATCATGTGATTATCAACACAACACTAATTCTTAATAGGAAAAATAAGATTAACAATCTGTTTAGCCACAATCAAGACTATCAGTTTTAATGAGCAGATTAATGTCAATAAAATCACCAACAGCAGAAAAAATATCCAGTGGCTAAATCTAAAATTCCATGAATGAAAGCAGTTCATTAAAATAGTCCTCTCTCTCAAATGAAATATCCTATACTTATACCGTATCTAATAGCCATTAAATACCTGGTAATGAGGGAAACAATCCAATGCTTAGAAACATATTTTTACCCAAGTATACAACTAATCATTTCTAAAAAGCTTCTTACATCAAGTCAAAAATTTCTTAATGTTGTCTATTTTTAATATTTGCACTTCATAGAGATGACAATGAACCTCAACAAAAGGTAACAAGTTGCCAATAGCCTAGAATATTTGGCAGATTAGTTTTGGGAAAAGTCAGCAGAGTTCCTCCCACTGAGGAGGAAGTGCTTACAAACAAGGGACAAAGAGCTATCTACAGCCCAGCAAACCCAGTTTCCTGTAGGTGTGTGGACCAACGGAGGGAGCAACCAGCCCTCACCACTCATCAGTTCATGGGGACAGTCCCTGCCCTGGAAGAGCTCAGTCATACTGACCTAAATTAAATTAACACACCACACACTTGGCAAAGAAGTGTCTTTCTCTGCCGTTCTCTCTTCTTAGAGAACCTCCATGTCTGCCCAGAAATCTTTTAAATCCTAGATTTCTCAGCTGAACCCTTCTCTGACTGCACCACACTTACCCTCACTGCTCACCTCTGTTCCTAGTTCTTGGCCCTGGACTCTCTTCTGGTCCACATCTGCTCCTTCTTTGTCACCCCCCAAGGGCAATGTGCCCTCTGAGGACAAACTCATCTTTGCCCCCTGAAGTCCAGGACACTGCCTGGCGCACAATAGCAACTCAATGAATCTGATGACTGAAAAGCATTCCTTCTTCTCCACCAAGTGCTGTACATTTAAGGAGAAATGTTGGTTATTTTTAGAAAAGTTAGGGACATTCAGGACTGATGAATTAAAAAAAAAAGACAAGTAGTAGACAGGGTGGGCAGATGTGGAAGGGGAGCAGTGAATGCAGGGGTCCCCAGCACACACGTGGGAGAATATGTACACATGCAGAAACAGCACTTCACTTCCGTATGCCTCAAAGCATGGAGCAGTCTTCAGACGCTCACAGCCTATCCCTACACACCCTCATCCCGGTGGGTTAGCATGGTGACAGGAGCTTGCCTTTCTTTAAGCTTACCAATTTAAAAAGTCTTTTACTTTAGTGAAGATTTCAAAAAGGACACAGGTTATAGGATTATATTATTAATGAGCCTAGACTGCTCTATTTGAGTGACAGTATCTTATTCTTGACCCTATTTCCTTTAGTATGATAGTAATATTTGTGTAATATTAATATGATAGTAAACATTTATCAAACATTCCATGCCTTATACCCAACCCAGCCAATCCTCGCAGCAGCCCAGCAAGGTGGGCACTGTGACTTCTATTTTATAGAGGAGGACATCAGAGCATGGTGAGGCAGGTAATTTCGCTATGGTCATACCACGCACGTTATTTGAGCAGCAGAGCCAAGATTCAAATTTAGACCACTGCCCACCATGAAAGGTTATTATAATGAAAGTCAGATGGGTGAAAAAAGAAAAGAGTGTGAAATGTTCTGCAAATGGCCCATAATCACCATAATCAAGTGGTTACAGACAAAGCCTAACTTTGAGCTTTGCCTTTTTAGTTGCCTTTCATAAGTCTTTGCGATAGCACAAGCAACCAGTGTGCTCAGTGCTCATAAGATTTGTAAGTTCCCCTTAAGGCAAAACATTTCCAAAACACTACTGTGTTTCTTTCTGCTGGGCCATAAGAAGTCACAAAAGTGAAAATACACAGAAATTTCTTTCTTCATGCTTCTTGGCAGCTAAGCAAAAATAACGCCATGGTCCACGTCTAGGACTGCAGCTCAACAGACTGCGCACTTTCTCCTTCCATGACCATTTCCATGGTCCCCCTCCAACAAAGATCTTGAGTTTGCACCAGACTTTACCTAACACCTTCACAAAGTTGAAGGATTTTCAGATTTGGAAGTAAGCTTCAATTCAAATAGTGGTTGTGATGTTACTGCAATTTACAGTAATGACCTTAAGTTTATACAGTGGCTTTTCTTCCAAGCATATATCTTATACAATGCCATCCAATTTGGGACATAATATTCCTACTAAGGGAGAGGATTTCAAACATTTTCAGTGAGTTTGGGAAAATAAATTAAGAAATATGCCAAGGTCACAGAGATAGAGGCAAATCTAACATTAGAAAACAAGTCACCTGGCTAGGCACCATGGCTCATACCTGTAATCCCAGCACTCTGGAAGGCCGAGGCAGGAAGATCACTTAAGCTCAGGAGTTTGAGACCAGCCTGAGCAAGAGCAAGACCCCACCTCTACTAAAAACAGAAATTAGCTGGGCGTGGTAATGTTTGCCTGTAGTCCCATCTAATTGGGAGGCTGAGGCAGGAGAATCACTTGAGCCCAGGAGTTTGAGGTTGCTGAGAGCTAGGCTGATGCCATGGCACTTTAGCCTGGGAAACAGAGCAAGACTTTCTCTCTCAAAAAAAAAAGAAAACCCCAAAAAAACAAAAACAAGAAAACAAGTCACCTAAACACGAAGCCAGTCGTCTGCACAAACTATGCCACCTCTGAGAGAAGAGTTCAAAATGAATCCCCATACCATGCAAACTCGCTGCTAGAACTTTCTTTCAATTCCTATACTATCCTCAGGAAG